CCTTGCACATCGACTCGGTACTGGTAATCCCTGTATATACACAGCATTCGGAAAGTATTCAGACCCCTTGAAATTTTTTTAAACGTTACAGCCTTATTCTAAAATTGATTAAATATTCTTTTTTTTAATCATCAATATATACACAATACCCCATAATGACAAAGCGAAAACAGGTTTCTTGAAATGTTTGCACATTTATTAAAAATTAAAAAACAGAAGTATTCAGACCCTTTAATATGAGACTCGAAATTGAGCTCAGGTGCATCCTGTTTCCATTGATCATCCTTGAGATGTTTTTACAACTTGATTGGAGTCCACCTGTGGTAAATTCAATTAATTGGACATGATTTGGAAAGGGCACACACCTGTCTATATAAGGTCCTACAGTTGACAGTGCATGTCAGAGAAAAAACCAAGCCATGAGGTAGAAGGAATTGTCCGTAGAGCTCCGAGACAGGATTGTGTCGAGGCACAGATCTGGGGAAGGGTACCAAAACATTTCTGCAGCATTGAAGGTCCCCAAGAACACAGTGGGCTCCATCATTCTTAAATGGAAAAAGTTTGGAACCACTAATACTTCCTAGAGCTGGCCGCCCAGCAAAACTGAGCAATCGGGGGAGAAGGGCCTTGGTCAGGTAGGTGACCAAGAACCTGATGGTCACCCTGACAGAGCTCCAGAGTTCCTCTGTGGAGATGGGAGAACCTTCCAGAAGGACTACCATCTCTGCAGCACTCCACCAATCAGGCCTTTATGGTTGAGTGGCCAGATGGAAGCCATTCCACAGTAAAAGGCACATGACAGCCCGCTTGGAGTTTGCCAAAAGGCACCTAAAGGACTCTCAGACAATGAGGAACAAGGTCCTCTAGTCTGATGAAACCAAGATTGAACTCTTTGGCCTGAATACCAAGCGTCACGTCTGGAGGAAACCTGGCACCATCCCTACGGTGAAGCATGGTGGTGGCAGCATCATGCTGTGGGGATGTTTTTCAGCGACAGGGACTGGGAGACTAGTCAGGATCGAGGGAAAGATGAACGGAGCAAAGTACAGAGAGATCCTTGATGAAGACCTGCTCCAGAGCGCTCAGGACCTCACACTGGGGTGAAGGTTCACCTTCCAACAGGACAATGACCCTGAGTGAGCCCACATCAAAGACAACGCAGGAGTGGATTCGGGACAAGTCTCTGATTGTCCTTGTGTGGCCCAGCCAGAGCCCGGACTTGAACCCGATCAAACATCTCTGGAGAAACCTGAAAATAGCTGTGCAGCGACGCTCCTGATCCAACCTGACAGAGCTTGAGAGAATCTGCAGAGAAGAATGGGAGAAACTCCCAAATACAGGTGTGCCAAGCTTGTAGCGTCATACCCAAGAAGTGTCGAGGCTGTAATCGCTGCCAAAGGTGCTTCAACAAAGTACTGAGTAAAGGGTTTGAATACTTATGTAAATGTGATATTTCCGTTTTTTATTTTTAATACATTTGTAAAAAACGTCTAAAAACCTGTTTTTGCTTTGTCATTATGGGGTATTGTGTGTAGATTGATGAGGGGAAAAAAACAATTTAATCACTTTTAGGATAAGGCTGTAACGTTACAAAATGTGGAAAAGGTCAAGGGGTCTAAATACTTTCCGAATGCACTGTAAGCCTGGGTTATCAACGATTCAATGGCCTTAGTGGGAGTGACCATAGAATTCTATAGGAGTGACCTTTCTGAGTAAAGTATTTGTCATCGTCACCAGTAAACACAGTCAAAAAGTCATAATTATGGCTAAACCCTGCCCATTTCCACAATGTATCTTCTTAAAATGTGATTTTAAACCTAACCCTAACTAATGAAGGCCAAGCAGACCTTCTGCGCATTTGGGCTGAAGTGTCTGGGAAGGAAATTAGGTGTAATGTGACTAACATAACTTCACTTTAGAGCGCATACCATCCTTCAGCACAACATGTCACCCCTTATAAAGCACATGTTTATATCATATTCAACCTAGTGGGTTATGTTAGTCACATTTGACATTGGTGATTATGTCACACATTTAAGACACATTTATGAACCCTTTATAAAGCATGACATACGGTTATAGATGCTTTAACACATTTATGTAGTGCTTATGAAGGCATTGTGAAGGCTTTATAAAGCCTTTATAAGCTGAACGTAATTTAAATGGGGACCAAATTTAGGCTACAGAGTCATTTGGTATGTTATGAATTTTGACTTATGAATTATCAAAGTAGATTTTCTGTGGGGGGAATGTTAGTGAATCTCAGTGATCTATAAGTCACAATTAGATACAGTACCAGTCAAAAGTTTGGACACACCTACTCATTCCAGGGTTTTTCTTTCTTTTTACTATTTTCTACATCGTAGAATAATAGTGAAAACATCAACACTATGAAATAACACATATGGAATCATGTAGTAACCAAAAAAGTGTTAAACAAATTCTTCAAAGTAGCCACCCTTTGCCTTGATGACAGCTTTGCGCACTCTTGGCATTCTCTCAACCAGCTTCATGAGGTAGTCACCTGGAATGCATTTCAATTAACAGGTGTGCCTTGTTAAAAGTGATTTGTGGAATTTCTTTCATTCTTAATGCGTTTGAGACAATCAGTTGTGTTGTGTCAAGATAGGGGTAGTATACAGAAGATATCCCTATTTGGTAAAAGACCAAGTCCATATTATGGCAAGAACAGCTCAAATAAGCAAAGAGAAATGACAGTCCAGCATTACTTTAATACATGAAGGTCAGTCAATCCGGAAAATTTCAAGAATTTTTAAAGTTTCTTCAAGTGCAGTCGCAAAAACCACCAAGCGCTATAATGAAACTGGCTCTCATGAGGACCGCCACAGGAAAGGAAGACCCAGAGTACCTTTGCTGCAGAGGATAAGTTAATTAGAGTTACCAGCCTCAGAAATTGCAGCCCAAATAAATGCTTCACAGAGTTCAAGTAACAGACACATCTCAATATCAACTGTTCAGAGGAGACTGCGTGAATCAGGCCTTCATGGTCGAATTGCTGCAAAGAAACCACTACTAAAGGACACCAATAATAAGAAGAGACTTGCTTGGGCCAAGAAACACGAGCAATGGACATTAGACCGGTGGAAATCTGTCCTTTGGTCTGATGAGTCCAAATTTGAGATCTTTGGTTCCAACCGCCGTGTCTTTGTGAGACACAGAGTAGGTGAATGGATGATCTCTGCATGTGTGGTTCCCACCGTGAAGCATGGAGGAGGAGGTGTGATGGTGCTTTGCTGGTGACACTGTCTGTGATTTATTTAGAATTCAAGACACACTTAACCAGCATGGCTACCACAGCATTCTGCAGCAATAAGCCATCCCATCTGGTTGGGCTTAGTGGGACTATCATTTGTTTTTCAACAGGACAATGACCCAAAACACACCTCCAGACTGTGTAAGGGCTATTTGACCAAGAAGGAGAGGGATTGAGTGCTGCTTTAGATGACCTGGCCTCCACAATCACCTGACCTCAACCCAACTGAAATGGTTTGTGATGAGTTGGACCGCAGAGTGAAGGAAAAGCAGCCAACAAGTGCTCAGCATGTGGGAACTCCACAGAATGCCAAGAGTGTGCAAAACTGTCATCAAGGCAAATGGTGGCTACTTTGAAGAATTTAAAATCTAAAATATATTTTGATTTGTTTAACACTTTTTTGGTTACTACATGATTCCATATGTGTTATTTCATAGCTTTGATGTCTTCACTATTATTCTACAATGTAGAAAATGGTAAAAATAAAGGAAAACCCTTGAATGAGTAGGTGTGTCCAAACTTTTGACTGGTACTGTATGTCACAGTTACATCATTGTACATGCCAAAGGCATTGAACACATTCTTAAAACACCTTCAGTGGTTGATATGTACAGTATAGGTAAACTCCTTCATATGACATTTTGAAATAAACATGTTATGTATTCTTTCTTCTCTATCAACGTAGTCTTAATATGTGTTTGTTATTCAGAGACTAATGTAATGGTCTGACGCAGAAGAAAGTGTCAAATTAGACAGACCGTAACTTGAGCCCACTCATTATGACTGCTTTTCCTGTCAGTCCCTGTGTGCAGTTTCTCCAGTGGTAAACTCAACCTCTGGCCCTCACCAGTCATACTGTTCACACCTTCCCAACCAGGGGACTCATTAGCTCCTAACACAGCCTGATGTCTAACTGGCTGTTTTGACAACCAGGTGCATTAGCCACATTTTATACAACACAATTGAATGCTCTCTGTGTACTACAGAAGCTTAATGAACAGACATCTAGTCTCACTCCTGAGGCTGATGCTTCCCAAAGGCTTTTTGAAAGTTGTTTGGACAACTTTATGTTTATTGCATCACTGAATAAATATGTGTTCTATGGTTAATCAAAAACTTGATCTGCCTTATACAACAGTGATTTCCCCCGTTAAATAAGTGTTCTATGCCTATGTTCAAGGGTCAGGCAGCACATCATCCACGGTTACATAAACTGTACGTTTATGCTGCACACACATTTAACAGCAGCACAGTCAGTAAACTCTGTGAACCCCAAGCCCACATGCAGGACAGAGTTTGACTCAGGAAAACATTGTAAAGTAAACATAGACAAGCATTAACTAACAGGGATCACAGGGGAGTATATACATGCTATTTTAGAATGATGAATGATGCAATCACTGATCAATGGCTGAAGCCTCAGCCATCCCTATAGATCAGGGTTTCCCAAACTCGGTCCTCTGGACCCCAAGTGGTGCACATTTGGTTTTTGCCCTAGCACTACACAGCAGATTCAAATAGACCAACTAATCATCAAGCTTTGATAATTTAAATCAGCTGTGTAGTGTTAGGGCAAAAACCAAAACGTGCACCCCTTGGGGTCCCGAGGACCGAGTTTGGGAAACTCTGCTATAGATCATGTTTGCTGACGTAACAGTCCATCTATGAATATTGATTGGTTGTTTCTCTGACTTCTGTCCAATGGCTCTTTCAAAAGTACTGAGTGGACAAAAAACTGTGGGCCAACGCAGCAGTGCTCACTGAAAATGGCCTCCCCATCCTCTGGGACCAGGCACCCAGCCAGCTGTCGGACCTGCCTCAGATGGACAACGTGGTCACAATCAACCCCTGGACCTACCTCTGGCCCTCGCCAGTCATGCTGTTCACACCTTCCCAACCAGGGGACTCATTAGCTCCTAACACAGCCTGATGTCTAAGTGGCCATTTTGAAAACCAGGTGCATTAGCCACGTTATATACAACACAGTTGAATGCTCTGTGTACTACAGAAGCTCAATGAACAAACATCTAGTCTCGCTCTTGAAGCTGATGCTTTCCACAGGCTTTTAAAAAGTTGTTCGGACAACGGTTTATTGCATCACTGAATAAATAAAGTTATACAGTTGAAGTCGGAAGTTTACATATAGTTAGGTTGGAGTCATTAAAACTTTTTTTTCAACCACTCCACAAATCTCTTTTTAACAAACTATAGTTTTGGCATGTCGGTTAGGACATCTACTTTGTGCATGACACAAGTAATTTTTCCAACAATTGTTTACAGACAGATTATTTCACTTATAATTCACTGTATCACAATTCCAGTGGGTCAGAAGTTTACATACACTAAGTTGACTGTGTCTTTAAACAGCTTGGAAAATTCCATCAAATGATGTCATGGCTTTAGAAGCTTCTGATAGGCTAATTGACATCATTTGAGTCAATTGGAGTTGTACCTGTGGATGTATTTCAATGCCTACCTTCAAACTCAGTGCCTCTTTGCTTGACATCATGGGAAAATCAAAAGAAAAATAATTGTAGAGCTCCACAAGTCTGCTTCATCCTTGGGAGCAATTTCCAAATGCCTGAAGGTACGACGTTCATATGTACAAACAATAGTATGCAAGTATAATCACCATGGGACCACGCGGCCGTCATACCACTCAGGAAGGAGACGCGTTCTGTCTCCTAGAGATGAACGTACTTCGGTGCGAAAAGTGCAAATCAATCCCAGAACAACAGCAAAGGACCTTGTGAAGATGCTGGAGGAAACAGGTACAAAAGTATCTATATCCACTGTAAAACGAGTCCTATATCGACATAACCTGAAAGGCCACTCAGCAAGGAAGAAGCCACTGCTCCAAAACCGCCATAAAAAAGCCAGACTACGGTTTGCAACTGCACATGGGGACAAAGATCGTACTTTTTGGAGAATGAACTGTTTGGCCATAATGACCATCGCTATGTTTGGAGGAAAAAGGGGCAGGCTTGCAAGCCGAAGAACACCATCCCAACTGTGAAGCACGGGGGTGGCAGCATCATACTGTGGGGGTGCTTTGCTGCATGAGGGACTGGCACACTTCACAAAATAGATGGCATCATGAGGAAGGAAAATTATGTGGATATATTGAAGCAACATCTCAAGACATCAGTCAGGAAGTTAAAGCTTGGTCGCAAATGGGTCTTCCAAATGGACAATGACCCCAAGCCTACTTCCAAAGTTGTGGCAAAATGGTTTAAGAAGTCAAGGTATTGGAGTGGCCATCACAAAGCCCTGACCTCAATCCTATAGAACATGTGTGGGCGGAACTGAAAAAGCGTGTGCGAGCAAGGAGGCCTACAAACTGGACTCAGTTACACCAGCTCTGTCAGGAGGAATGGGCCAAAATTCACCCAATTTATTGTGGGAAGCTTGTGGAAGGCTACCCAAAACATTTGACCCAAGTTAAACAATGTAAAGGCAATGCTACCAAATACTAATTGAGTGTATGTAAACTTCTGACCCACTGGGAATGTGATGAAAGAAATAAAAGCTGAAATAAATCATTCTCTCTACTATTATTATGACATTTCACATTCTTAAAATAAAGTGGTGATCCTAACTGACCTAAGACAGGGAATTTTTACTAGGATTAAATGTCAGGAATTGTGAAATACTGAGTTTAAATGTATTTGGCTAAGGTGTATGTAAACTTCCGACTTCAACTGTATGTGTTCTATGGTTAATCAAAAACGTTATCAATCTACACTCGATTTGTTTTATATAACCGTTAGTTTCCCTTATAAGTAAGTGTCTTATGCCTATGTTCAAGGGTCAGGCAGCACATCATGCACGGTTACATAAACTGTACATTTATGCTGCACACACATATAACAGCAGCACAGTCAGTAAACTCTGGGAACCCCAAGCCCACATACAGGACAGAGTTTGACTGAAGAAAACATTGTAAAGTAAACATAGACAAGCATTAACTAACAGGGATCACAGGGGAGTATATACATGCTCTTTTAGAATGATGAATGATGCAATCACTGATCAATGCCTGAAGCCTCTGCCATCCCTATAGATCATGTTTGCTGATGGCTGTCCATCTATGAGTGTTGGTTGTTTCTCTGACCTCTGTCCAATGGCATGATAAGAAGTACTGTTTACAGTGGATTCACCCCCACTGATACCCTTTCTCTATCACGCGACGTTGTGAGGCCAAAGTGCACTGGCCATTCCAGTACAAAATGGGGAAACTGTTACTTATCCAGGTGTGCAGTTATTAAGGTAGCCAGCATGCAGTGTATCTGGACCCTCTCCCTGCTTCAGCTAGTTGCCCTGTGGGCCAACGCAGCAGTGCTCACTGAAAATGGCCTCCCCATCCTCTGGGACCAGGCACCCAGCCAGCTGTCGGTCCTGCCTCAGGTGGACAACGTGGTCACAATCAACCCCTGGAACTACCTGCAGAGGATGAGTCTGTATAGGATACTGGTGGGCTCCACCGATAAGTACATGGCCTGCATGGGAACCAATGAGACTGACAGCCCGTTGTGGAGCCTGCCTCTGCAGCTGGCCTGGAAACTCAGATCAGGTACAGTGAGGGAAAAAAGTATTTGATCCCCTACAGATTTTCTATGGGATTAAGGTCTGGAGACTGGCTAGGCCAATCCAGGACCTTAATGTGCTTCTTCTTGAGCCACTCCTTTGTTGCCTTGGCCGTGTGTTTTGGGTCATTGTCATGCTGGAATACCCATCCACGACCCATTTTCAATGCCCTGGCTGAGGGAAGGAGGTTCTCACCCAAGATTTGACGGTACATGGCCCCGTCCATCGTCCCTTTGATGCTGTGAAGTTGTCCTGTCCCCTTAGCAGAAAAACACCCCCAAAGCATAATGTTTCCACCTCCATGTTTGACGGTGGGGATGGTGTTCTTGGGGTCATAGGCAGCATTCCTCCTCCTCCAAACACGGCGAGTTGAGTTGATGCCAAAGAGCCCGATTTTGGTCTCATCTGACCACAACACTTTCACCCAGTTCTCCTCTGAATCATTCAGATGTTCATTGGCAAACTTCAGACGGGCCTGTATATGTGCTTTCTTGAGCAGGGGGACCTTGCGGGCGCTGCAGGATTTCAGTCCTTCACGGCGTAGTGTGTTACCAATTGTTTTCTTGGTGACTATGGTCCCAGCTGCCTTGAGATCATTGACAAGATCCTCCCGTGTAGTTCTGGGCTGATTCCTCACCGTTCTCATGATCATTGCAACTCCACGAGGTGAGATCTTGCATGGAGCCCCAGGCCGAGGGAGATTGACAGTTATTTTGTGTTTCTTCCATTTGCCAATAATCGCACCAACTGTTGTCACCTTCTCACCAAGCTGCTTGGCGATGGTCTTGTAGCCCATTCCAGCCTTGTGTAGGTCTACAATCTTGTCCCTTACATCCTTGGAAAGCTCTTTGGTCTTGGCCATGGTGGAGAGTTTGGAATCTGATTGATTGATTGCTTCTGTGGACAGGTGTCTTTTATACAGGTAACAAGATGAGATTAGGAGCACTCCCTTTAAGAGTGTGCTCCTAATCTCAGCTCGTTACCTGTATAAAAGACACCTGGGAGACTCTTTCTGATTGAGAGGGGGTCAAATACTTATTTCCCTCATTAAAATGCTAATCAATTTATAACATTTTAGACATGCGTTTTTCTGGATTTTTTTGTTGTTATTCTGTCTCTCACTGTTCAAATAAACTTACCATTAAAATTATAGACTGATCATTTCTTTGTCAGTGGGCAAACGTACAAAATCAGCAGGGGATCAAATACTTTTTTCCCTCACTGTATGTTGGGCCATCATTAGGTAGCTTTGAGGAGTCAAATATATGCACATTGTTTTTGTGACTACTGTACGCACATGCTTTTTGTGATAAGTATAGTACACGATAATGTTGACTATGTTTCTCAGTTGTCTCGATCAGATGGTTTATCAAAGGTTTTCATGGGGAAAGTGATGTGACTGAATGCGCTTCTGTTCTTATAGGGCGGTTGGTTGACCCCACTGGCGCTACAGCATGTGGACAGGAAGGAGATCCCATGTGCATTTCTGCTAATAGCTGGTGGGCATGTAAGCACTGTGACACATATTCAACCGTGCAGACCATGTGTGTAGCCCTACATGTGCAGTTAACATGCACAGCGTGTCAATAACAGACCATTAGTAAACTCTCTCTCTCTCTCCCTCTCTCCTTCCCCAGGTGTGAACTACTACCTCTCAGTGATCCCGTTCCTGGCTGCTGTGCAGAAAGGCCTGATTGGAGATGGTCTCATTCAGGTCCAGGTACAAGCACCAGCTGAGGCAGCTGAAGACTACTGCACCTCCTACACAGACTGCTCTGCTAAGTACCCAGACCTCATGGCCAAATGGGAAGAATTCTTCCAGGTAAGCTATTCAATGAGCCTCTAGTTTTCCTTCTTCCCCATGGGATGCATTTTCGTTCTTGCCCTAGGAGATGAGACCGGTTTGTTCATTTAGTTGAGTGAGGCTCTTGCTGCTGGTGACTCTCAGATCCACCTCTACGCAGACGACACCATTTTGTATACATCTGGCCCTTCATTGGACACTGTGTTAACAAACCTCCAAACGAGCTTCAATGCCATACAACACTCCTTCTGTAGCCTCCGACTGCTCTTAAACGCTAGTAAAACTAAATGCATGCTCTTCAATCGAATGCTGCTTGCACCCACCTGCCCAACTAGAATCACTACTCTCGACGGGTCTGACCTAGAGTATGTGGACAACTACAAATACCTAGGTGTCTGGTTAGACCGTAAACTCTTCTTCCAGACTCACTTTAAGCATCTCCAATCCAAAGTTAAATCTAGAATCGGCTTCCTATTTCACAACAAAGCCTCCTTCACTCATGCTGCCAAACATGCCCTCGTTAAACTGACTATCCTACCGATCCTTGACTTCGGCGATGTCATTTACAAAATAGCCTCCAACACTCTACTCAGCAAATTGGATGTAGTCTATCACAGTGCCATCCGTTTTGTCACCAAAGCCCCATATACTATCCACCACTGACCTGTACGCTCTTGTTGGCTGGTCCTCACTACATATTCGTCGCCAAACCCACTGGCTCCAGGTCATCTATAAATCGCTGCTAGGCAAATCCCTGTCTTATCTTAGCTCATTGGTCAACATAGCAACACCCACCCGTAGTATGCGCTCCAGCAGGTATATCTCACTGGTCATCCCCAAAGCCAACACCTCCTTTGGCCGCAATTCCTTCCAGTTCTCTGCTGCCAATGACTGGAACAAATTGCAAAAATCTCTGAAGCTGGAGACTCTTATCTCCCTCACTAACTTTAAGCATCAGTTGTCAGAGCACCTTACCAATCACTGCACCTGTACACAGCCCATCTGAAATTAGCCCACCCAACTACCTCATCCCCATATTGTTATTTATTTTGCTCATTTGCACCCCAGTATCTCTATTTGCACATCATCTCTTGCACATCTATCATTCCAGTGTTAATACTAATTGTAATTATTTTGCACTATGGTCTATTTATTGCCTTACCTCCATAACTTGCTACATTTGCACACACTGTATATATATTTTCTGTTGTATTTTTGACTTTATGTTTTGTTTTACCCCATATGTAACTCTGTGTTGTTGTTTTTATCGCACTGCTTTGCTTTATCTTGGCCAGGTCGCAGTTGTAAATGAGAACTTGTTCTCAACTGGCTTACCTGGTTAAATAAAGGTAAAAAAAAAAAAGGCCTAGATTCAATCAGATCAATCGGCGAAGCAGACACCTGTATAGTGGATGTTTTGGCAGGTGTCAGAAGTGGAACGATGTTGGAGTTGTCAAATTGTTGAGCAACTGCCCTTGTGATCATAGAGCCACACCCGCCCCACTCGCATTAGAAGTTCAGAACGCGAAAGTGTAGGCCATATAGAAATAATTACACTCAAATGGAAAAATCTTTCAACTAAATAATGACTTCTCTCATCCTAATCGTGGTGTAGATTAGGTCTCACATTCCAGTGTTCAAACTTGTAAACAGCAATGTCCGCATTAAGAATAACCGGGAGCCACTTGTGGATTTGACAGCTCTAACACAGTTCCACCTCTGACACCGCCAAAACAACCGCTATGCGAATCTGATTGAATCGAGCTCTTAAGTCACTGTTCATATGTGACCGACCCATTGGTGAATGCATATAATTACTTGTTCTTGGTTTATAATATGCTACCTTTCCATTATAGACCCTGAAAGACGTTAGCGCATCTGAGATTTCTGACTTTGCGAAAAGGGACCAGATTCTAGGTGCCTTTTGGGCAGGTGAAACTCTCTCTTTGAATACTGCCTCATCCAGCTGCAAGGCAAAGTGAGTATAAACATTAAATGATGCAGGTCATCACCATTTGTCTTCATTTTTGGTACTCTGACACAATTTTGAGTTTCAATTAAATATATGACTCTCAAACTTTATGTTCTGTCCTTCAATCAGCTTTTACCTTAATTATTGATTATTATTGATTTAAAAGATTATTGAATTCAATCTTTTGAGTCACAATTTAGTCCTTGCATTATGTGTAATCACACCTTTGATCTTTGTTATAGGATGAGCTACTATTCCAGCCCAGAGGTTGCATTCGCCAACACCTGGATGAATGCTGCAGATTACATGGCAGCTACGTACTTCCAGTCCAACCTGAATAACTCTGTGCTGTTCATGAGGTCTCTGCCTAGCAGGGTGCTTCAGGAGGGGGATAGCGCCCCTAACATAGCTGACCTAAGCACAGAGGAAAACCACACCCTCTATATCTTTAGCTGGATGACCAGTATGAACAGGATTCTGAGTGAGTACTTTTAATTTTAGTCCCCCAAGATGGATGTTAAAAAATATATTTTATTATTCTTTGCTTTGTATGAAAAGTAGAGTAACATTTCAGAGTGAAATTGAGACGATAGACATCAGTCAGTGATAAAATGAAGTCTGTAGTCACCCTCTAGTGGTGACATGTATGATGTGCATTTGAATTGAGAGATCTACCAAATCAGTTGCATCAGGTTACTTGATCACATTTTCTTAACCAGTTGTTGTTTACCTTGTGACAGTGGGCTCTCTGGTTAAGATGTGGCGCTCGGCCATGTGCTCTGACAAGGCTCGGGAGAAGGGCCGGGAGCTCCTACAGAATCTGGTCCTGGATCCTAAATTCGCTGTTTCCACCTTCGTCTCCATTCTGACAGAGATGACCCGCAGCTGCTCAGGCTTCAGCACATCAGTCCAATGAATAAACCTCACACAGTGGTATTTACACTTCCTGTGTTTGCCATTATTCCTTTTCCACAGTAGGCTTGTTGATTAATGTACAAACAATGTATTTATTGTATGATGAATATAATACATTTAAATGGAAGAATGGCTCAGTATAAAGTGCATAATAGGAAATATAAATAAATGTTGCTTGAAATTTGAACATTATATCTCACATGCCAGAATGTTCATTGATCTTCACACTTAAACTTTAAGCTTGGATATGTATTAGATATTCATCAAATCCATTGATTCTATTCTATCCTAAACCTGTTTTGCAGTCTGCATGGCATATGTGTTTCTTGTTTTCCTATTGTCTGTGCCTTGAATACTTTGGTCATTCAATTTTCTCCTGATAATGTCAAGTTCATCCTCATCAATGTATTCATAATCATGAGTGTCATCATCATCCTGTTTAATTGTCTTGTGCTGAGGACTGTTTTCTTCACCGATGACTGAGGAGAGAACACAAACACAACATGGCATGAGAATCAAAGTCAAGCTTTTGACATAGAGATTAATATTAGTTATAGGTTGCTTTCCAAAATCCAGAAAGTATTTATACCGACAGCTGATAATTAAGTTAAGTAGCAAAATGAGTCTGCTGCAATGCTGCATACCACTATCCCTCAATGCATGTTGAATATTCAACAAAAGTATTCTGATATAGAAATAGAAACATAGACAAACCTTTTTGTGGGCCTGGATCAGGCATTGTGATCAGACTTGTGTTGGAAGTTTCCTTTCTTGGTGGAGTGGTGTTCTGTTCTACACAGATAGACGATCTGGAGGTAGACACTGCTGGTTTGGCTGTATGTGGGCTCTTCAATATAATAACACAGACCACACAAACAATTGGTACTGTAATGAATTGAATATAACTTTAACTATAACATTCAAATACATACTGATAGCTATTGTTGTTGTTGTTATTTTATTGTTTATTAAGGCATCAAATATCATGGCTGATCAGCTCACCTTTGGAGAGGGGGGAACCGGCTTCTTTGGCCTCGGAGGTGGCAGTTTCACTGTATCTTCTGAGTGCTTTTGTGGTCTCTTGGGTGGTCGAGGGGGAGGCAGCACGCTGGTATTGACATACCTCCTCAGGGTGAAGTAGCAGTCCTCTCCTATTTCCTCTACAGCTGAGGGGACGGCCTTGCCCTGGGTCAGCTTTGGGCCGTTCCACCGCTCCAGAAGCTGCAGGGCCATGTTGGTGCGGTTGACAGGCACCTCCCAACACTGGGCAAGGTCCGGGGTGGAAACAATAAGGAAGGGGTCAGTGATCTCCTCCTCCAGCTGCAGCCCCGTGGCCCCAGCCAGGAGGTCCTCCTTCACTGAGAGGTCCCTCATGGACACCTTGACATTGAAGGGCAGGGCGAACCTTTGGCAGACCTCTGAGAGCATGTACTGCTTCTTGTCGTGGACCACCTCGACAAAGCCCCCGTCCAGACACATGGGGATCAACACGGCCTCGTACTTCTTCCCCACAATCTTCTCACAGGCCAGGGCCTCCACAGTCTTCCTCTTGCCTCCGTAGATCACCTCGCTAGTCTCCCTCTTGTGGACCAGGTACTGGTCTCCCACCAGCACCGAGGACAGCCCCTCGTAGTGGGTCTCAAAGGCCTTGGTGGCCACTACGTGCAGCTGCTCCATGTCACTCTTGGCCACCTCCAGGTCATACGCTGTGGGAAATGTCCGGGGCCTGCGCTTGAACCTGCCATTGTAAGACACTGGGATGAGGAAGCGTCTCTGGGCCTCGCTGCGAATCTCAGACGCTAGGATTCTCTTTGCCTGGTAGGCACTGTGGACAATGACCTGCTTAGAGGATTTCAGGAAACCCAATTCCTCCTGAACTTGTGATGGTGGCTCGATTATTTCTGCTCTGAAGGGGAAGAACTCGCTGGGCTTGGCAAAGACATCACGGAAGGACAAAGGCTGCATAAAACAGTCACCATCACACTCCTCTGTAACGTCCAAGACCTCAACATCAAGGGTGGATGGGATGAAAACAACATTCTTCCCAACTGTGAACAAAAATGTGATTATTTCTGTTAAGTATGCAAGCACAAGCAATGATCAGCTACTTTTCTGTAAGAAATGATTCAACAAGATTCCTAATTAAAATGTTTTTCCAAAAAGAAATACATAATGCAGTATATATAAATATTGTTTAAGTCATTGAATTGATCTCTAAAGGTTTGACATTAGTAAATCTGTTTAACTGCAGCTTTGAATAAAGTTTCATTTTGTGCTTTTTCTAAAAAGTAGAAATGCATTGTGATTGCCTGAACAGCATGATGACTACACATCAAAATATCGACTACTTTCGTGTCTGTGCTTCTGAAACAAGCTAAGACCAGTGTAGCTTTCATGTACATTAGTTGTCACTATTGCAGTGTGTTCCCTTTAACTTGAAAACAAACATTTAGATGAGAAAAAATCAATTATAACATGAAAAAGACATTTAAAGCCTTTTTTATTCCACATAACTTTGATGTAAAGTGAAAATATGAATGGTCCGTTTGAGACTCACACTTGGATACCGTCTGAAGCTCGTAGACAGGTGTGAGAACCAACTCTCCACTGTAGTCCTCTGGCAACTCAGACACACACTTCTCCTTTGACGGCAAAGACTTGGCCCATGTCACTGTCCTTTTCCTTCCTTTGGGTATTTTCCATTCCACCAGCTCCCTGAGGGTATAGAACTGGTCGTCGGCACACTCATAGAACTCCCCAGTGTGTGAGAGCTTCACAGTGAAGATGTGCTTGGAGTCTTTCCGCGTGACCTCACAGTCAACATGGCTGTCTTCGTGCTCTGTCCTCAGAGCAGTGAGTCTGAAGCTCTCCTCTGCCTGGATGGTCCCCTCAGCCAGCTGTAGCTCCTCAGGGCAGTGGAACTCTGGGTGGCCCAGGCATTCAGGGCCGATACGCACAGAGTCAACAATCTCCTGTATACTGGCGTATGGCCTCTTGTCGGCCACAATCCTGAAAAGGCCTGACAATACAGGCAGGCAAAGCAATATATGAAATTATATTTATTGGTACAATGCATAAAATCACATGTTGATAAGGTCCCTTTCTAACCCGAGAGAGAGATTTGGACATTTACATGTATACTGTAAACTGCAATACATGGTAAAGGCCAAGAATTAAGGCATTTATTAAGAAATTAAAATCTGAATATATCAATGCACATTACAACGCTTTATAAAGGAAAACAATTGACCACAAAAAAATGAGATTTCATATTCAAGGTACAGTTTGGATGTTTCGGGCCCACCTGGGTAGTCGAGCGATAGATTGACTATCATGGATTTGGATCCCTCAGACTGAAGCTCCACAATGAGTCTGGTGATATTGATCCCAATGATCTTCAGGAGCTCTCCGTAGGAGAAACTCCACTCTCCTCCATACAGCTCATACACAGAACCTGGTAAAAAGTCATTTAAATGGATCTATTGTAGTGGCACTGAATGGATCTAAGAACAGTCGATGGTCTATTCTCCTTGTGGAGTAATGGATCCAAGTAAGAATAGAAGTAAAGGGCAGTAACACTAAATAATAACTATCATGAATAATTAATGTATATAAAGTTATAAGCATTTATAAAGGCTTATTCATGAACGTTATTACAAAGTGTTACCATACAATATTTTTTCAAAGCTCCAGTAATAATCACGTTATCAGTTTTATGTTGAATTTTGTATTGTGAAATACCTTTTGTTCATATCATTTGTATGTTAAAATACTTCATAACTGTGAGCCGTTAATCTGAACTCCTTACATTCACATTACATCATTATTTATTCCAAAATTCCAGTCCAGTGAGTAAGGAGTAAAGTTAGGGCTAATGATGTCTTCAGTCTTACCTTGGAAATAATATCCAGATTGTATCTGCAGTACTCTAGGGAGAGACTTGGCATCCAGCGAGCGGGTGAACTTATCCAGTGTCATAGCCATCCTTTCCATTTGATCTCTGGGTGACCCAGACAAGGTATATACTGAAGGAAACCTAGAGAGGAGATGCCACCTTCTCCATGGGTCAGCAAAAGGTTCACCAGAGGTGTGTTAATGCCAAGTAACCTGTGTGCCAGGGCTCATCCTTTAGTATTAAGGCTCTCTTTCTATAGCATAGTCTGGCACAGTGAACAACGCAACTCAGTGACACAGAAAGAGAAAGTAGCCACGTATCACCAGTGCAACAGTAGATGTTACAGGAGCCCTCACTCTGCCTCCGGAAACCAGAGACAGCTAACTAACCACAACTCACTAAGTAGCTAGGTTGTATCACTGGGAATCCAGCCTGAGAACAATGCCACAGAACAAGATGTTTGTCATAATACCAATGATTAACATAACACCAGAAAAATGTATTTAGTGACTTGCACTTCTGCAAGCACTGGATTAAAGGGGAACTGACAAAAAAAAATATCAGACAAAAATATCTGTTTTTACCTAATATCTAGTGATTAGATTAAAATAATCATTAGGTGCATAGTTTCTGAACAGTCGTGGGCTAATGTATGACACATATAACTAAACTAATCATACTCACCTGTGATGATACTAATGATGATGTCTTACACAATTATATTTTATTCAAAGATTTGTCTTTTTTATTACAGCCAATAAGCCAACAGTTACAGACAAAAAATATATGAAACATGGCTAAACTCCACATGATAATGACTTGTTTCCTTTTCTCCAGGAGATCCACTCATGTCCCACATCAGTATGGTTGGCCGTACACTTGCCTCTGCTGTGTTGGCTTACATCTTAATAAGCTGTATCTAATACTGATTATACTTTTTTTTTTTTTTCTTTACGATGTTCCTTTTGTTTTTCCAAAATACCAATACAGGTTAGGAGATCATCAGAAAAAAATAGAACTCTTTCATGGTCGCCACTTGACCTTCTGATATTCTATCTGTATGGGTAGAATTCACAAGCATTTTTTACACAAATAAACCACTGTAACATCACACAGAGGATAAGAAAAAATTTAAAACAAGATACTACTACTGAAATTTATCCTAATACTTAAAAACGACTTTAAATGTTTACGGTTTAAAGGCATAGGTAAACATGGAATGAAGATGATTGTTTTTTAGCCTTCAAAAAGGAATGCAAGTAAACAATAGATACAAACAATGTGCTTTATCCATATAGACATATTTACATAAGTCTTTGGCTTATGATTAAGATTTGCTACAAAATAAAACCAAAATGAGTCAGCCATCAGTGTACGATACAAACATTACCAAGCCAATGTCACATGTTAGCACTTATAGAGTGCAGTATTTTTTTCTTTCACATTTGTGATTGACTTCTATATATAGATATATATTGTTTGTTGACAATAATGCTGCTAATATATATTTAAAAAAAACGTATTTAGCATGCAACACCTTGGCATCAGTGTTACCCTTTTTACAATGGCTGCACATAAAAATAACTAAATCTGCAAAAGACAATGAAGCAAATGTGGCCTAGCGGCCGACATTTGTTTCTGTGGCACTGAACACGGCGAAGTACAATGGAGACATTTACAAACCACTCACATCATACTCCCAGTACAATTAGAAACATTAAAGACCATCAATAGCAGTCTGTATAGGCTTAGTCAACGATGCCCGCCTCCAAAGGATCCGTAGTGTTGGAATGGTTGCCAAGTTCCAGAGTTCTGTTCCGTCCCGTCTTCTTGGTTAAGATGTCTCGATAAACTCCAGAGCAAGGTCGTAGCAAAAGCGGTACTGCTCCTGTTCAGATGAAAACAAATAATGTGTGAACCGTTGTGGTGCTAAACATGATAAACACAATGCTACAGTACAATCCTATATGATGAACAATACACTAATAATATGGTGATAACAGTACAATCCTATATGATGAACAATACACTAATAATATGGTGATAACAGTACAACTGTATATGATGAACAATACACTAATAATATGGTGATAACAGTACAATCCTATATGATGAACAATACACTAATAATATGGTGATAACAGTACAATCCTATATGATGAACAATACACTAATAATATGGTGATAACAGTACAACTGTATATGATGAACAATACACTAATAATATGGTGATAACAGTACAACTGTATATGATGAACAATACACTAATAACATGGTGATAACAGTACAACTGTATATGATGAACAATACACTAATAACATGGTGATGACAAGATTAATCACTACTGAATGGCATATTCAATTCTTAACATAAAAATATGTTATTTCTAACTATTCTCTGGCAGTGAAATTAGGAGGTAACAGGTAACTTTGACAAAGGGCTGCTGACAGATGCATAGACATCCTTTGCATTTTTCTGTAACGGATGTGGCAAGTTGTCTCTCATGTTTACCACAACCGTTTATGTCATAATCTCGACAGACTCTTGTTCATTTGTCAGTGATCCATAACATTATCATTGTTGTATATTTTTGTCAATATCACTTGGTTATAATTTCTTCACAAACAATCTACAAAACAAATCTAATATGAAGTGTTCCTATCTGTTCTCTAATACCTTCATATTATTGACTGGCTTCTCTCCAAATTTCTCAAGAAAATATCATAAGTGAATATCACCAGAAATTAGAGGTGGCGTAGGCCTATGCTAATATAATAGCACTATATGAGTCAGAGATGCATTTGTTGGGGAAACTCTGTTTGACTGAACTGGAGTCAGCTGCCGGCCTGTCTTACCGGGCTGTCCACCATGTTGGGCTTGCTGTTCCTCAGGCTCTTGACGGCGTGGAACACATCCACCACATTCTGCCTCTTGATCATCTCACACACGATGCTGATAGCACAGAACATCCCACTGCGGCCGCCTCCGTTCCTACAGCACAGGAACACAACGGTGGAAATGGGAGGTTGGTTGGGTGACTAATGCTATTCTACTGAACTGCCAAACGTGTTAAATACAAGAGGTGGGTGCAGATAGGAGAGAGGTGATAGGATTTGTATTTGTATGCATGTAGGAGGTGTTTGTGTGTGGTTAGAGAGTGGTGGTGGAGGGTGTGTGTGTGTTTGTGTGTGTGTGTGTGTGTGTGTGTGTGTGTACACTCACAGGCAGTGGATGATGGTGCGTCCCTCGCCCTCCTCACACTCCTCCTGCCACTTGTCCACCTGCAGTATGAGCTTAAGGAAGGAGCGCTTGGACGCTGGCACTTCTCTGTGGGCGGCCCAGCCCAGGTACTGGAACTGCCTCACCATCAGGTAGCCCTCCTGAGGCTGTGCGGAACACAGAAACATACATTATCAACGGCAGCCATTTTGGCTCTAACACTGAACGTCATAACATTATTACAATCAAACCATCCTCGTTCTACAACCTCGATGGCAGCGACAAAAAAAAAAAAAGATAGTGGAGCACTTACTCTGGTGAGGTTACATATTCTGAAGAGACGGCTGATGACGTCACAATCCATGGAGCAGGACATACATTCAACTTGGACAGGACCGTAGCGGAGCATCCCCTCTTCAGGCCAATACTGAGGACAGCCCTGATTGAGAACAAAAAAAATAAAAAATTTACAATGACCTTCACTCAATGCACAATAATGAGATTTGGAATCAGGGTCCACAGCAGTGAATGCAGGAGGGTGAGGTGGTCAGGTATTACCTGCGCTAGGTCAATCTCGTTGAGCATGACCAGGGACGTGCAGCCGTAGTCGTACACCAGCCTCCAGAAGTCTTTGACCGTGTTGGGCAGAGGGTGCTGGGTCACAATGAAGGCTGCTGGCTGTCTGTAGCTCTGAATTGGAGGAAGTCAACAAGGAACCATATAACATCTCATAGCACTGAGTCTGCAGACATTTACAGAGAACACATACTGAAGATATGATACATCTCTCACAATGAACAATGTGTGCATATATGACCATGCAAGGAATGTGGAGACATTTCACGTTTGAATGACAAGTGATTTTTTAAACCAGGTCAATCCATGTGGTAAGCATGCTTCTAGCAATATTATATAAATTAAATGAAGTTCTGCTGACATACACCTTTAGCCATGAAACAAATCCAGTATAGTTAGAAGCATTTAATTATTCAGAAGTGAAAAGTTCAGAAATTACCTGGTATTCTTCTGACGGCTTGGTTAGAAAAAGTCCAAAAGTTTGTGAAGCGTACGAGGAAGTGATTTAACATTACCCTCCAAATAAAAAATCTCATAATCTGGCAAAGTTCTGCTTCTCTGTGCACATGAAATACCATCTCCCAGGGTCTACGTCAATACTCTGTCATAGGTTATTTTTTATTCATCCCGGTTTGTCGCATTGAGACATACAGTACCAGTCAAACGTTTGGACACACCTACTCATTCAAGGGTTTTTCTTTATTTTTACTATTTTCTACATTCTAGTGAAGACATCAAAACTATGAAATAACACTTATGGAATCATGTAGTAACCAAAAAAGTGTAAAACAAATCAAATATATATTTTTGATTTTAAATTCTTCAAAGTAGCCACCCTTTGCCTTGATGACAGCTTTGCACACTCTTGGCATTCTCTCAACCAGCTTCACCTGGAATGGTTTTCCAACAGTCTTGAAGGAGTTCCCACAAATTGTTGGCTGCTTTTCCTTCACTCTGCGGTCCAACTAATCCGAAACCATCTCAATTGGGTTGAGGTCGGGTGATTATGGAGGCTATCTGATGCAGCACTCCATCCCTCTATTTCTTGGTCAAATAGTCCTTACACAGCCTGGAGGTGTGTTGGGTCATTGTCCTGTTGAAAAACAAATGATAGTCCCACTAAGCCCAAACCAGATGGGATGGCGTATCGCTGCAGAATGCTGTGGTAGCAATGCTGGTTAAGTGTGCCTTGAATTCTAAATAAATCACTGACAGTGTCACCAGCAAAGCACCCCCACACCATCACACCTCCTCCTCCATGCTTCACGGTGGGAACCACACATGCGGAGATTATCCATTCACCTACTCTGCGTCTCACAAAGACACAGCGGTTGGAACCAAAGATCTCAAATTTGGACTTATCAGACCAAAGGACAGATGTCCATTGCTCGTGTTTCTTGGCCCAAGCAAGTCTCTTCTTCTTATTGGTGCCCTTTAGTAGTGGTTTCTTTGCAGCAATTCGACCATGAAGGCCTGATTCATGCAGTCTCCTCTGAACAGTTGATGTTGAGATGTGTCTGTTACTTGAACTCTGTGAAGCATTTATTTGGGCTGCAATTTCTGAGGCTGGTAACTCTAATGAATGTATCCTCTGCAGCAGAGGTAACTCTGGGTCTTCCTTTCCTGTGGCAGTCCTCATGAGAGCCAGTTTCATCATAGCATTTGATGGTTTTTGCGACTGCACTTGAAGAAACGTTCAAATTTTCCAGATTGACTGATCTTCATGTCTTTAAGTAATGATGGACTGTCGTTTCTCTTTGCTTATTTGAGCTGTTCTTGCCATAATATGGACTTGGTCTTTTACAAAATAGGGCTATCTTCTGTATACCACCCCTACCTTGTCACAACACAACTGATTGGCTCAAACGCATTAAAAAGGAAAGAAATTCCACAAATTAACTTTTAACAAGGCACACCTGTTAATTGAAATGCATTCCAGGTGACTAACTCATGAAGCTGGTTGAGAGAATGCCAAGAATGTGCAAAGCTGTCATCAAGGCAAAGGGTGGCTACTTTTGAAGAATCTCAAATATAAAATATAACTTTTTTGGTTACTACATGATTCCATATGTGTTGTTTCATAGTTTTGATGTCTTCACTATTATTCTACTATGTAGAAAATAGTAAAAAGAAAGAAAAACCCTTGAATGAGTAGGTGTGTCCAAACTTTTGACTGGTACTGTACATTTATTTCGCAAGAGTCTCTTTTGAGAGTCTTGTTTCAGGATCCATTGGAATCCTAGCAAGGACTGAGAAGAGGATTTGAATTCAACCTCTTTGTATAAAATACACTGTACAATACAGAAGAAATACCAAGCACATTCTCTTTGCTATATGCAATGTATTGCAAAAAAAGGCTACAGGGTGGCTTCTGAACCTTTTATCAATTACACAGCTATGACGAGATGACTCCCAGGAGATGGATTCACTTTCTGGCACAGATCCTGATATCAAACTAAGAGAATCCTGATCCAAGAGGTCAAATAGTGATGCATACTGTTGTAATACGTGGATACTGTAGTAAAGTTACCTGCTGGATTATTGGTAGAACTAATAATAAAATAACACTTGTTTCACTTACCACGCCCTTTTATCAAACGGGTCAAACCTTTTGGCCGACTTTTGTTTTATTTGAAAACCCAAATGTTTAAAAGCTCAAGTGTAATTTAGGATCACATGAATAGCCATGTTGAAGAATAATTTCAACAAGTTATATTGTTGAAAAGTTAGATGACCAAAACTTTCTTAATAAAGTAAATTAATTTTTGCACATTTTAATTTTGTATTTTCATCGATATCACTACTTGCACTACGAGAAAATAATTGAAGGATTGCCAAAAAAGAACAGAAACTCTTGAGCACACGTTAAAAATACATTGAATATCAGTCCTTCTACATTTTCCAAAAGAGTACACAAAACAGTAGTATACACCTGGATTTGTCTCTAGCTTTCTGTCTCTACTACACATTCAGATAACATCCAGTGCACTTAGTAAAGCCGAGGGAGTGTGTATGTGTGTGTGTCTGTGTATTTGTGCGTGCTTGCATATGTGTTTGCGTGCGTACGTGCATGTGTATACTGTGTGTGTGTTTACGCGTGCATGAGGGGAGAAGACACTTACATCCATGAGGGCAGCGTTGATGTAGTTACTGCTCTCCCCGTCGATGGTGATGAGAAAGGGCAGACAGCGGTCTGGAGGCAGCATGTCCATGAAGCGGTTCTTCTCGTGGTTCCTGGGCAGCAGGGCGATACTGCAGTCCTCTGGCTGCGGCTGAGGGGTCACCGAGTTCAGGGTCTGAAAACACAAATAACATTAAACCCCCAAAATGACAGGGAACATTGTTTGTTAGAAGACATGGGATGCATCCCAAATGGCACCCTATTCTAAGTAGTGCACTCTAGGGAATAGAGTACCATTTGAGATGCACCCATGATCTATTTCCATGATTTTATTGTTGTCTTTTAGTGTTATACGAGACATGATTAACATCAGGCTATGAAAGACTGAGGATTGAAACAGAACTTTGTGCCACAATAAATATGAAAGGGCTCCAGTACCTGGAATTCATCTTTGAGGTGTGAGGAGTTACTCTGTGAGTCTATCCTGATCATGTCGTAGTGAGCTGCTTTGTACTCGCAGGCGGGGATGGCCGTCTCGCCACACAGACAGGCCTCTAGGATGGCGTCATGGATGAAGATGTACTGCTCCTGTGGCCGGACCACAGACACACAGTCAGCAAAGGAATGCACTGCGTCTCCATACAGTCCATACATATAGTAGCATGAAATGCACAGACAGACAGTAATGGCGAATGGTGTTAATGTTAATTGGTGAGGTGTGTGGCGGTGGGGTGGGTCTAGTAGTCACCTCAGTCTGTACCATGTTGATGCGTCTGGAGCGCAGAGCCTTCACGCAGTTGTAGATGTCCACCACGCCCTCCCGCTCCGCCATGTCCAGCATGATGTCGATGACGATGTAACAGCCTGTGCGTCCGGCTCCGGCGCTGACCAAGGTGAGAGGACAGGAAGGTGAGCATGGGGCTGCATAACATAGCGCTTCAACAGTCTACATATCCAGCCGTTGTGCAGTACACACAACAAAATTATGATACCTTGTGCACAAGATTACATTGACAAGTATGTGGATCAATATTCACAACAACCACATCCTGCCAAGGGGCACGGCGATATCTTAGCTAGCTTAGCTGTGGCTGATATTGAAGCATGCTAGCTAGCTCAGGTACACTCATTTCATAGCTATGTGACAGTATTATGTGAGCGATAAAGAAAAAGTGAATCGGATGCACCTGTTTTCTCAGGTGGTCTGGCGTAGAGGAAGTGTCGCGTTAGGGGTTTACCTGCAGTGCACCACGATGGGCCCAGCGCTGGGGGGGTTGGACATCTTGACCCGGCGGATGAAGGAGAGGAGGCCCGTGGCGTGGTAGGGCACTCCGTGGTCAGGCCAGCCAGTGAAATGAAACTGCTTCACCTCCCGCAGCTCGTTAAAGCCTCTCTGATGACAGAGAACATACAGGTTATTAGGTAACAACTGGTCTGGGTTCAGTCTGATTTCCACATTTGCAATATGTGTTGATTTTAAGGGGCAAACAATAGCAAAGTGGTAAATCCCAGATTGCCCCTTTAACTGTTATAGACTAAACTGTTGAATATGGACGTGAGGGGTGTACAAAGGACTGACTCACCCTCTCCAAGGTGAACGTTCTGACCACATATTCAGCAAGGGGCTCCACCTCCACAAATGTCACTTTGAAATCACCATAGACCTCAGCATCATCGGGCCAGTACTTGTAACACTTCACCTACAAGAACATAAGCATTTAATTCATTTAAAACAAAAGACGTCCTTAAATACTACACATACATGCACACAATAGATGCCCAGATATACAGTATGCCAGATCAATATCTAAAGACTGATCAAGGCCTACATTGGCCTCCTGTGGTTTGGGGTCTGACAGCAATATGATATTATAACCTACCCGTCCAACTTCCACTAGGTTAGTGACCATGACGATACAGGCAGACTGCTCTTGCCAGACCATCCTCCAGAAATCATAGACTGTCTCATGGACAGGCCCTGGAGAGGACAACACATATCAATCTATCAATCAATCTCTGAACTAAATACAATACAATCTGATAACTCTTTATAAGACCATGAATTGCTCAGTGCTGAAAATACAATATGAGCATCAATTCTTCTTTAGAGGTTAACGCGGTACTTTGTCTTACCTTGGGTTGCAATGTAATGACTTGGCCTCTGATACCCCTAAGTGCAACAAACACAATATGGTAAGATCATTGGGTAAGACTTATATATAGTGTTGCATCCACAGCAGACTACTACACAATATACCGTGCCTCAACCCCAGCTTGGACCGCATGCGATATATCTTCATGAGAGTCAATGGCCTTATACACTAATATGCACAAAGCTGTTCTTGTGCATTCATTAATTTACTGAAATAAACTTTCAATAAGAGCACATTTCCTACTTGTGCTTTGAGTATCTGTCAATGACACGGACGTTTATTCTCTGTAAAGCTCAACTCTGGTGTGTTTTATTGTCAAGAATTTCACATTATCGATTACTTCGTAGGAATACTACATTCTTGTAATTGGCTGCTTATTAGCAAGTTGCTTGATAGAGTCAGCAGGTTTAACTCCCCAAGTTATCCCTATCAGATTGGATCTGGCTGGGTACAGGCACAGTAGGGGCGGAAACAAAGGAAAACAAATAGCGGCCACCATCTTGTAAATATTCATATCGAGAACAGTAGCACACGGATCAGGGATGTACACATCGGGCATGAGGACATGTGAAATGAGAGAAGCGGATGAACAACAGCATGGTAGGACCAAATCAAAAAGGGGGGAGACGAAAGGAGGGCTAACATCTCATACGTTGCCATGCAGATGTTATTAGAGGTAACCAGAGGTGAACAAGGGAGGAAGAGAGTGGGAAACATGAGGTGTGGTGAGGTCCCCTACAGTGATACTTACATCCCTGTACAGCCATATCTACAGACCAAATCATAGGCAAAAGTGAAAGAAAGCACAACAATGTCAGTGAGTACAAGCACTTTGACTGAAGGAGGAAAATAAAAGCTGTTTTCATATTGTTGACAAAGGCATGCATAGAAGGCCTCACATACGAGAGAAGGACGGTTGTGTCGCACACGTTCGCCAATGGAGGAGGCTGCGCCACTTACGTCAATGTAGTTGGCGTTGATGTAGTCAGAGGAAGGGTCGTCTTCCATTGGTTGCAGGATCACTCTAGAATGATCGTCTGTAATACAACATGGGTTAGTAGGCTGGCTAGTTGTATTTCATTAACAGGTAGTCAAATCAAAATGATTATTCAATATTTCCTGGGATTAAGAGACAGCTAGGTACATGATAACAGATGTTACGGCTTGCCATATTTAATGAGCTCATTCCTAAAAACACGCTAGGTAAAAGGAGGCATCAACACCTAGCAACTTTAGTAGAAGTTAAATACAAGACTTACATGCAATGATGTTTCCATAGCGGTTCTTGGTTCTGTTAGTGTCTTTCTTTGCCACGTCCCAGGAAGCGGACTGGCCTTCAAAAAAACTCTGCATACCAAACAGAATGAAACCGAGTGAGTGAGGCTGATAAGAAAACACATTTCGCAGTTAAGGCACTGCAATGTAATCAAAGGGCAGTTTTCTATGGACATTTATATTGTACTTTATGTCTGTCAAGGACCATCACTTCAAATCTTCAATGTCTGGCCTAGTGCATCTCAGAGAACAATAGAGATACAAGGTGACAAAACCAAATTTCTTGGCTATGATGTGGCCAATTTAAAAAGTAAAATAACTTATTCAACTGCACATTGAAGAGGCATTGCAGCATGTGGTTTGATGCTTAAACCCTCAAAGTTTGGTGTTCACCACTGTGATCATTATTCCAATATTACAACAGGAACTGGACAACACATTTAAACTTCCTAGAGCTGCATACAAAATTCAGTCGAATGAACAACAGCATAATTGTGAAATAATCTATGGGGAGATGACTATCAGAGCTGAGCAGTACTCATAGAAGACAACTTTATCTTTGCCTGTAACAGTTTTTTCATTGAACTTTCAAAGGCTGCAGAGCAAGTAACTGAATGTCTCTAAACCCCTGCAGCAGTGCAAACCTCTGCCTCACAGGCAAACTCCTCGCTGACAGGAAACTCTTTCTCTGCAGGTCTGTGGTTGCCCATCCAGTCAACACAGTGAGCAACACAGAACCTCAACAGGATGTGACATTTAGGGGGTATTTTGCTTGTTCTCCACTGTAGGGATATTGTCTCTTTGAAGAACCTCCCAATAATGGAGTGAAATACTTGATTTGAAGCAGATTGTATTTGTATGAACTTAAAGGTGTGTTGACTGTTTGAATAGTGAGACTGTTAGTAAGACCGTCTTGAGGGCTGACGACCTCATACATTTAGCTAATATGTGTGGGAGCTGTCACTATAGGGCCATCGTAAATATGCTATGTTATACGTGTAGACTAGAGTCTTAGGGCCTGTGTTATGTTATGAGGGTACTGTAGACTAGAGTCTTAGGGCCTGTGTTATGTTATGAGGGTACTGTAGACTAGAGTCTTAGGGCCTGTGTTATGTTATGAGGGTACTGTAGACTAGAGTCTTAGGGCCTGTGTTATGTTATGAGGGTACTGTAGACTAGTCTTAGGGTCTGTGTTATGTTATGAGGGTACTATAGACTAGAGTCTTAGGGCCTGTGTTATGTTATGAGGGTACTGTAGACTAGAGTCTTAGGGCCTGTGTTATGTTATGAGGGTACTGTAGACTAGAGTCTTAGGGCCTGTGTTATGTTATGAAGCTACTGTAGACTAGAGTCTTAGGGCCTGTGTTATGTTATGAGGGTACTGTAGACTACAGTCTTAGGGCCCGTGTTATGTTATGAGGGTACTGTAGACTACAGTCTTAGGGCCTGTGTTATGTTATGAGGGTACTGTAGACTAGAGTCTTAGGGCCTGTGTTATGTTATGAGGGTACTGTAGACTAGAGTATTAGGGCCTGTGTTATGGATGTACTGTAGACTAGAGTCTTAGGGCCTGTGTTATGTTATGAGGGTACTGTAGACTAGAGTCTTAGGGCTTGTGTTATGTTATGAGGGTACTGTAGACTAGAGTCTTAGGGCCTGTGTTATGTTATGAGGGTACTGTAGACTAGAGTCTTAGGGCCTGTGTTATGTTATGAGGGTACTGTAGACTAGAGTCTTAGGGCCTGTGTTATATTATGAGGGTACTGTAGACTAGAGTCTTAGGGCCTGTGTTATGTTATGAGGGTACTGTAGACTAGAGTCTTAGGGCCTGTGTTATGTTATGAGGGTACTGTAGACTAGAGTCTTAGGGCCTGTGTTATGGATGTACTGTAGACTAGAGTCTTGGGGTCTGACCTCATATTCCTCCTTGAAGCCGTAGCTGTCGGAGGTCTTCATCAGGTTAATGTGTTGGAGCAGGTCAGCCACCCTGATGGCTGGGTGCAGCTGACCTGTCTGGTAGGGTGACTCTGTTCCCTCACAGTGGTACCGAGGCACGTCCAGCAGCCGACTGGACTCTGCAGCAGCCGCAGTGTGGTTCTCATCTGTCCAAGGAAATCACATGTTGGTGAGGATTACACAGGCTTGTGAAGGATCATCATCACTCAACATCACCATCACTCACAGAACACATATCTGGCCTTAGCCAAGTTAAACTCAACTCCACGATATACTTCACATCAATGGCACATTGTCTCGTGTAATTGCGTGCTATTTTTGGGTGATGAAATCCATAGTTTTTTATAAAAACATATTTTTATGTGATGTCGGAGCTCCAGTCCGTCCACTCTAATCTCCACTCAACTCCGTTGATGTGAAGTACATCGTGGAGCGGAGTTTTACTTGGCTAATCTGGGATGGCGGCAAATCATGATGAATACCCTATTATACTCCCGAGTGGCGCAGTGGTCTAAGGCACTGCATTGCAGTGCTAGCTGTGCCACTAGAGATCCTGGTTCGAATCCAGGCTCTGTCGTAGCCGGTCGTGACCGGGAGACCCATGGGTTGGCGCACAATTGGCTAAGCGTCGTCCAGGGTAGGGGAGGGAATGGCCGGGCAGGGATGTAGCTCAGTTGGTAGAGCATGGCGTTTGCAACGCCAGGGTTGTGGGTTCGATTCCCACAGGGGGACAGTATAAAAAAATAAAAAAATAATGTATGCACTCACTAACTGTAAGTTGCTCTGGATAAGGGCGTCTGCTAAATGACTAAAAATGTAAATGTAAATGTAAAAATAACCAGACTGGGTGTGCTTCTCTTACAAAACTACTTTTACAAAACTATGTTTTTCTTGCAAAAATTGAAATAAAAATAACATGGCTCCTGCCTTCACACTTTTTATTTAAAGTAACCCCCCAGTGAAGCAGCTAAGCTTTGAGGAGGATGTAAGCGACAAGGTACCTGGCACTGGAAGTAACTGACATGTTGCGTCAGCTTGGTGAGTGGGCAAGACAGGGCTTGATAAAGCTGAGGAGTGGTGCCTGACTTTCCCAGTAGACAGGAAGGCAAATACAGGGGCCTCTTAGTTACCACAGTGTGAGAGCAGGACCCTCTCAGGGGAGAGACGCTGGGCTCACAGGACTGACAGGCACCATATGCGCCCTTTAATGTGATATCTGAGCCATGTCAATCCCTCAGAAACATAGCCATTTTGCCTGTGGAGATGTGTGTGTGAGTGCACCGCGAGTGTGTGGTTGTGTGTGTGTGTGTGTGTGTGTGTGTGTATGCAGGGGGGTGGGGGGGGGGGGGGGGTGGGGGGGGGCTGGCTGGCTGTTGAGTCCTAGGTTATCTGCAGCCAGGATTTACACCCCTCTAAAGCCTAGACTGACCTGCTGGCAATCACATTACCTACTGAGCCGTGATCTCTACATATTTTCTGCTTGGCTAGCCACTGAGCTACTGCCAGCCTCTATATCAGGTTAAGGGGAATGTTAAGTTACGTTTTAAGGAGCCTGCACACTTTACTGTCAGGGGAGGGGAAGTCGGCTACTGTTACTGACGCACACACACTGCACACACATTTAATGGATCAATCAATGAGATCCAGCATTTGCAATCTGGTAATTCATTTATTTTCATTAACCACTTTGGGACACTTTAGAATTTCCACACACACTTACCTGTAATTGGCACTTTACAATTAGGGCAGCAAGAAAAAGAAAAAAAGAAAGAAATGTGCTTTTAGATCAACAGTAAGCACACATGGGTTGTAGTAGATATATAATACATACACTACAGTTCAAAGTTTGGGGTCATTTAGAAATGTCCTTGTTTTCTAAAGAAAAGCAAGAGGAGTGGGAGGCCCCCGGTGCACAAGAGGACAAATACATTAGAGTGTCTAGTTTGAGAGACAGGCGCCTCAAACTAGACACTCTAATGTATTTGTCCTCTTGCTCAGTTGTGCACCGGGGCCTCCCACTCCTCTTTCTATTCTGGTTAGAGCCAGTTTGTGCTGTTCTGTGAAGGGAGTAGCACACAGCGTTGTACGAGATCTTCAGTTTCTTGGCAATTTCTCACATGGAATAGCCTTCATTTCTCAGAACTAGAATAGACTGACGAGTTTCAGAAGAAAGTTCTTTGTTTCTGGCCATTTTGAGCCTGTAATCGAACCCACAATTGCTGATGCTCCAGATACTCAACTAGTCTCAAGAAGGCCAGTTTTATTGATTAATTTAATCAGCACAACAGTTTTCAGCTGTGCTAACATAATTGCAAAAGGGTTTTCAATTAGCCTTTTAAAATGATAAACTTGAATTAGCAAACACAACGTGCCATTGGAACACAGGACTGATGGTTGCTGATAATGGGCCTCTGTACGCATATGTAGATATTCCATTATAAATCAGCCGTTTCCAGCTACAATAGCCATTTACAACATTAACAATGTCTACACTGTATTTCTGATCAATTTGATGTTATTTTAATAGACAAAAAAATTGCTTTTCTTTAGAAAACAAGGACATTTCTAAGTGACCCCAAACTTTTGAACGGTAGTGTATATATGATGACGTGACATGACTTTAAGCACAATACTGGAACATGAGGGTGATGGAGGTGATCACCTAACAATGACGAGGGATTCACAGATGACTGACAACTGACCCAAGGAGCTACTCTACCACACGTACACAACACTGACTTTCTTACACATCCGCACATGACTTTCTAGAAAGCTATGGCGAGACTGACAGACACACTAATGCAGTGGGCGGGATCTAAGAGGAGTGACACTAAGCTGGCAAGAGAACTGCTGCACTCTAGTGTAGAGACTATCTAAGCTGACATTTCTACTCATTTGCAAATTTGTACTACTTAATTCGACCCTAACATGCTAGATTGAGTCATGGCTTGAACTGCACCCTTCACTTCCTATTACCAAGCCCAGCGAGAACACAGAGCTAAAATAACACATTTTCACAGCAAACACTGTGGCCTGAGGGGGCATTTTAATTCCCCATCAAACTTAGGTGTCAGTGAGCCATAAAGACCCTCCGCGGTTGCTTGCTTGTTCTGTCAGTGTGGACTACACTGCTCGCGTCGAGTGTCTAACGCTCTCCATCCTGATGTCACGAGTGAACACTGAACTCCATTACATAGAAACTGTCAGATGTGTTTTTGGACTCTACACAGACAGAGGGGCTGAGGGTGATGTTCCAGGGGGGCTGAGGGTGATGTTCCAGGGGGGCTGAGGGTGATGTTCCAGGGGGGCTGAGGGTGATGTTCCAGGGGGGCTGAGGGTGATGTTCCAGAGGGGTTGAGGGTGATGTTCCAGAGGGGCTGAGGGTGATGTTCCAGGGGGGCTGAGGGTGATGTTCCAGGGGGGCTGAGGGTGATGTTCCAGGGGGGCTGAGGGTGATGTTCAAGGGGGGCTGAGGCTGATATAAAATGGCACCCACTCACAAAGCCTGTACGACTTACACACAGTGACAGGATGACTGGTTTCATTCTAGAAAAGTGTCATGTCATGCAGGAGGTTGATCTTCAGGTAAGGACTCAGGTGAATGTAGCCATCATATATCTATCTTCACTTGTGTTTGAATTAGTTTCCCCTCCTCGTCTCTAAACCAACGCCCTGAGCAGGATTTGGAGCGTGTAGACAGTTGTAATGCATACAGGAGTGAGTGTGAGTCTCTGAATGTGGTTTGGACCTTTAGCTCCACTCCAACGGCTCATAGGTGGGTCCTAAACGCTGAAGGATTGTTCATCTGTTCACTGGAGGAATGCCATGTCTCCACTCTACCATGGCTGAGGGCCAAGTCTGTTTTACACTGGCAGCCAGGGGAAATCCAAAATCTGGAAACAATTCCTATTTTATTCCCCTTACTGGATAAGTGAATGTGGAGGCTAGTCATTCTGACTGTGATACTGTATATTGTCAGGACTAGTGTGAGTTGTACGTGACTAACCAGACGCAACACAGAGACAATCAATGGACGGCTACAGGTTTACAGTTTACAATGGACGGCTACAGGACTGTGACAACGACATGCATGAGGAACACAACAAGCCATGGCAAGGCAGATGATATATCACCAGGGCCTCACCTAGCACTGCCGTTGGCACAAGTGGATCATTAGGCACTGTAGGGAAAAAAGCTTATGAAATACATTCCAGAAGGCTTGAGTAAGCTGCATCACACTACTGAGTTATAAAATTCCAGCAGCAAGATGAACAGAGCATAGCAATAGAATAACCTCTACCATAATATCCTGTGCCAACAGTTCAAATCATTAAAGGCATTCATTCATATCTTGGGATTTTCCTATTATGCATTTTAAAGTAAAAACATGTAAGGTTAAAGGGCAACTTAACACCTCTCTTCAGAGCCTGTCTCATGGACTCTTCTCGGTGTTAGGGTCTTTCCCATTGTAAGGCATTAGATTATCTAACTGTCAGGAGGCTTTCTCACATGTATCATGTGTCTGTGGAGGGAGGTGTTCCCCAGGGATCTGTCTAAGGACCATTATACCTACATCTGTTGCTGAAGTTGTGGGAGTCCATAAAGGTGACGGCCATGGGATCCTCAGCATGGAGCGTGCTCTGATCAGCGTAACTGCGGTCCATGGCGTTCACCATGTGGGTCATCTCCTGCCGAGTGTTCCCGATGGCGTCTTTGCGCTTCTTGGCTAGTTTCCTGAAGGATCGGACGAGCAGGTTTAAATATCACAAAAACACATTGTCATCGATTAATCACACACAAGAGGAAAGACTAAAGTGAAAGAGATGAAAGAAAGAAGCTCATCTCCATGACAACAGACCATTGGTTTGGCTTCCACATATGGCCTTTTTAAAAATTTGTTTTCATCCAATAATAGGTGCAAACCTCACAAATACTGTATTATTAGGGTCAAGTATCATTCAGTATACTGTAGGAAACATATAGGGGAAATCCAAAAGGGCCCAATTTCAAGCATCAAAATCATGCAGGAATAACTTCTGCTTCAAGGGGGAAAGGTAGATGCTTCATGCTAAGGTGGGAGGTTGCCGCATGTCATCCCCAGTCTGGGCTCTGACAAGACATTCTGAGAAATGGGGACTCCCTGTTTGGTTGATTATCTAATTATAATTACATCTGGACAGGAGTTGATAAGGTTAATACAGTATATTAACAAGATTAATATGCCAAATCGATTGTGTACGGACTCACTCATTGGCCCCTGATTGAGAAAAGCCGATTGAACACCTACAAGACTGGGAGGTTTCCATTTCAAGGGCAATTACAACTTTCACTCTATTTGAATTGTAAAAAGGAGCACTGCGATGAAAACACAGACCTGCTCTGTTCTACTCCTAGTTCCTAATTCCACTTTGCGAGCACCCTGAAGAAAGGTGTTGCAGTACAAAGTGTCCTCTGATTGGAGTTTGCAGATTGCAGTTAGATGAAAGCACTGAGATGTGGTTTTAAGAAGCCGCTCTAGTGAAATTGAAGGGAGGACTCTTTGTGCTAGAGAAGAGACAGATGGGTGGACAGCAGGAGAAAGATACCAAATAGTATAATTTCATACCGTTCTAGTAAAATGACAATTATAGGCACAATATACTAATTTCTGCCCATCATAAATTTGAAGTGGATTGAAAATAGGCAAGCACAGCATGGGGTCAATTATATCAAGAGCCATGAGAAAATTATCCCGTTTCCATTTTGAGCCTTTTAATTACCTTTGATAGAGGCAAACTCTAGGATACCTCACTTTCCCGTCGGGAAAAACTGATTTAACATTTGAGGTAATTATTGGTAACTTTCTGTTTTTCAATTATTCCAAACTTAACAGGATATAATTGTCAAAAATGTCCCCCAGCGCTAACACATTTGGTGTCCTAAAATTGCTTGAAGGGACTATCCAAAGCCAGCAAAAGATGTTTACTGTGAAGCTGATACAGTAGCTTTCATTTTCATGGAGAAAAGAAATCCTTCATAAAAACAGAAAAGAATGTATCCTTTGTCAGGGGGAATCATCTCTGAAATGCTGAAAAGGCTCATTCACCTGAATTCACTTGGAGGGTTGGGTGTCACTTCTAGGCGTGAAATGAAAAATGATCGTGAGAAATAGAAAAATTAGAGGAGCAGGAAGGTAAATGCGAAGCCTGTGTAGATGAAACACACTCACAGAGGTGAGGGTAAAATGGCAAGCATGTCGAATGGTAGAGCATGTGAGCGCATCGGCAGACTGATGGCGTCTTGTCAGGACAACAGATTGGGGAGTTTTTTTCTCGTTGCAGCCCTTAGCAAGTGGAAAGCACCGCAGTGTGGAGATGGCTGTCTACGGTCTACAGCAGGAGAAGAACCTACATCAACCCAAAGAGGAAACCCTCTGCAACCAATATTCAGAGCAACCAATTAGAAAGGGCTCATGAGATATGTAAGACATACAACACACGCAGTGTGCACGTGTAGAGGCACACAGTTTACCACATATATCCTTTCAATGGACAAAGGAGGTCCAGGAGATGAAGAAGATGAATGAAATACATGAGTTATTGACATACAACCACATGCACACGGATAGAATACAGGACACAAAGTGCAGCATTCTTTTTTCAAATAACACCGCTTTTGGTCATGATGACTTTGGTTTGGAGAGTGTTTCGAAGCATGTTTGAGCTGGTCAATGGCAATGGCAATTGGTTATGAGCGATATGCGTTTTCACTTGAAAAAAGGATACTGCATCTTTAAAACACTTCATAACTAACCAAGCACTCATTGTATTTTGGGTTTGTTTATTTCTGTGTAATTGTTGTTGTTTTTGTTGTTGTTTGTCTGTTTACTTACAGGTAATATGAGTAAGAATAGTAGCTCCTCCTGGTACGCCAATCAGAGACAGCAGGATAAAGAAATATTGGTGAATGCAAAGTGTGAATCAGTCGGATCAACAAAAGCAGAAGAAAGTGGAAGACAACAACATTTTATCTCTATGAATTAACTTCCTAATGTTAGAATTTCATTTTTACATGCATTCCTTCAAATTGAGCTTCATGCAGCTTTATGTTCCAGTGTAATTGAAGATTAGAGTGCAATAAATTTATTTTCATAACAAACAGTAGTTAATCTTTTTGTTCTGGTTGAATTTTGAATTGGGCGTAATCGTTAACGTCATGCATTAAATACTGTCTCATTCACTTGGACAGTCAGACAGTCTTCAGACTGACTGTTGTGGTTATGGACTCACAACCCTATTATCATTAGGTTTAGGCTACAGTGTTACATATGAAAAGTAAAGTCTTGATCAGCATAATGGATAAACACAGCTGCAAAACAAATTGCGGCAAACTAAAGAACAAGTTGCTTGCTACCTGGAAAACAAGCAATGTCATGGACCACCATTTTAAAGATGCAGTATCTTCTTTAAGTTCAGTTCAATAAGGGAACCATATATTAATTATTGTATCAGATCAATGAGTTGTGTCTTGCCCATAAGTATTGATCTCCCCAGCAACTGGTGTTTGTAATGTAGTCATCAAATATCAATTCACAACTCCCTTCACATATGGCATGACCATTCAAGAAAAACAACATGAAAATAAAAGAAGCATACAAATGTTGCCACAGCATTTACGTTTTGGCTTCAACCTTGATTGTTTCTGTACAAAGCAACAACGAGATTCCAATATCCACTTAATTAACTTGTATTGCTTTGTATATCATCGAGTTCTACTCTACTGGTCACCTGATTTTGGAAAAAAATTTACTCATTGCAACTAACAAGATGAAGAGAGATTCAGACATATAGGCTCAGTGTCTGAGAAAAATACACCTTTCTTATTATCTCTAGTATAGACGGACTGAGAGGATGTCTAGCTGACATCTAAACCTGGTTGACTGTAGCACCAACAGCAACCATCAACTACTCTGAACAAAAATATAAACGCAACATGCAACAATTTCAAATATTTTACTGAGTTACAGTTCATATAAGGAAATCAGTCAATTGATATGAATTAATTAGGCCCTAATCTATGGATTTCATATGACTGGGAATACAGATATGCATCTGTTGGTCACAGATACCTTTTTTTTTTAAGTAGGGGCGTGGATCAGAAAACCAGTCAGTATTTGGTGTGACCACCATTTGCCTCACACATCTCCTTCGCATAGAGTTGATCAGGCTGTTGATTGTGGTCTGTGGAATGTTGTCCCACTCCTCTTCAATGGCTGTGCGAAGTTGCTGGATATTGGCAGGAACTGGAACATGCTGTCGCACACGTCGATTCAGAGCATCCCAAACATCCTCAATGGGTGACATGTCTGGTGAGTATGCAGGCCATGGAAGAACTGGGCCATTTTCAGCTTCCAGGAATTGTGTACAGATCCTTGCGACATGGGGCTGTGCATTATCATGCTGAAACAGAGGGCACTCTGTTCACAACGTTGACATCAGCAAACTGTTCAGCCACACAACGCCATACACATGGTCTGCGTTTGTGAGGCCGCTTGGATGTACTGCCATATTCTCTAAAACAATGTCGGAGGCAGCTTCTGGCAACAGCTCTGGTGGACATTCCTGCAGTCAGCATGCCAATTGCACGCTCCCTCAAAACTTGAGACTGTGGCATTGTGGCATTGTGTTGTGTGACAAAAATTGCACATTTTAGAGTGGCCTTTTATTGTCCCCAGCACAAGGTGCACCTGTGTAATGATCATGCTGTTTAATCAGCTTCTTGATATGCCACACCTGTCAGGTGGATGGATTATCTTGGCAAAGGAGAAATGCTCACTAACAGGGATGTAAATACATTTGTGCACAAAATTTGAGAGAAATACGTTTTTTGTCCGAATAGAAACTTTCTTGGATCTTTTATTTCAGCTCATGAAACATAGGACCAACACTTTACATGTTGCATTTATACTTTTGTTCAGTGTACATTCAAGACATCCACGACAGGTTAAGCTAACTAGTTCCAAAACAAATGCCTTTCTCCCTTTATATTGATTTTCACAGGCGTACTTTGGGGACAAAGAGACATTAGTCGTACTTCAGAATTCAATTACCATCAGTACTTTTAATCCATTCCAATGCGATTATGAGCTTATGGCTCATTAGCACTCAATGTGCCCCATTGCTCTAAACACCAGTCCTTTTTAAGGCTGAAATTACAAACCAGGAAGCCATCCAAAAACTAAAAAGCAGGCGCTGCAATTAATGCCAATGGCTTATATGAAAAGCATTCAATGAAATGAACCCCTTCCCATCTCTCTGAAAAAGATTCTAAACCACAGGGAATAGATTAGCTAGTCCTATTACAAAATATTGAACTACTATGTAACCACTACAATAGTACACCAACACCAAACCAACACAAACCAATTGTTTGTAACAATGAACAAAGGCATTTGTATATCCCAGACTTACTGTAGCGTAATTCAAAAGTCACTATTGACCCAAAAGACCATTGACGAAAAGTCACTCTCTTTTAATATCAGAGAAAAGGAAACACTGTTATTGTCACTCAACCCACGTCTGTCACTCACGACCTGGGAAAAAAGACTCTGTTTATAACCTGACCTTCTCCTCTTATCTCCACAAAGCCTGGACCGGCTCCACTAAATCTTAAACACTCAGTGAAGAAAATGGAGGAGAAAAAGAGTGAAGGAAGAAGGAAGGGAAAGGGGGAATAAATAATGAAGCTAAATGAA